ACCCAGTATTTAGGGTGCAGTATTTGCCCTTTAAGTACAGTGAATGTGGAAGATCTGAACACCATTGCTTGGAGACAGACTGACTCAGAGCCTGCATCATGTGCCTGATCACTTAGTCATTTGATCCACAATCAACCATTATTATAAACGTGTCGTAGTTATAAAATACTTTTGTAATTGTGGCGAAAAATGTTGTTATCGGCCTCAGTTGACAAATCATATGATATAAAGTGGAATGACAGCGAGCCTACTTACTGCTATAACATTTACAAACGTCGTTTTTCCTGAGTATTGAAGCCCGACCAATGTTAGCTCCATCTCCTCTTTCCAGAAGAGACTCTTTATCCAGTCTAATATCCTCGAGAAAAACGCTATCATTGTGCTTATCTCTACAGACTTTCTCTGGATAGGAAGTAAAGTCACAGTGTTTTCTTCTGCATGCGACGCACAGACAGATGTCAGTCATGTGATGAGTGAAATCGTCATCGTCATGTGACTTTGTACGCCGTTCAAAATGGTGGCACTCTACCGACGTCAACAGCAAGCAGCGCATTTTGTGATTATTTGTGTCCTTTTGTTACATGGTGGAAGTATCGTGAGCGCTGACACCCCCGCTAATTGTACATACGAAGATGTAGTTGGGCAGTGGACGTTTTACACCACCGCAATGGGCTACGATAACACTTTAAATTGCTCAGCGATGCCGCAAAGTAAGTGTTTTGCTTGCCTCGGTGTTTTTGGCCGTATAAGTAGATCAGGTGACCAGTCCATCCAGGATATTACCTGGACAAAAGTCTCAGGTTGAGACCGCAATGTCGGTCAGTTGCTGGTCAGTTTGTTGTGTAAGTTTTAGATTCAGAGTTCTTCTAGTTCGACTGGATGACTAAAAATTGGAAATGTACAAGACAGTTGCATGGTAAATCGGAAAAGACATCGGTATCTTTGAGATGAAATATTTTATAAGCTAGTGAGATTTATCAATTCGTACAGCCTTGGACAGATTGTCTTGTACTGCAAGTTCTGCAACGACCTACACTACACTATATATGTGGTAGACATCAATGAATATATGAAACTGTTAAGGTAAAGTGGGCGTAAGTTTTGTTTGATTATTTCCCCAAAAAAAAAAAAAAAATTATATTTAAACAGATATCTCTGCTCACTTTATGTGCTTTATATACTGTGAAGGGTCAGTACAAACCCCTTACCCACCCACCCCAAACACTGAGTGTGTCATTTGATTATTTTTGAATATATATTCCAGGCATGTTCAAAGGTAATTATGGTTTGAAGTTATACTTCCCCAGCAAAGCTGTGGACCAACATGGCAACCAGGGGTTTTGGACACTTATCTATAATCAGGTATGATCATTATTTGTATTGACAATAGGAAGGTTCAGCATATGAGGAAAAGAATTAGAAATAAGTTCGGTCTTTTTACACCTTTCAAAAGTGAAACAAGTTTTCATATGTGTTCTTTTTTGATAGTGAATTCAGTACCATACTTGATACATTTCACAAAGATTTCTCAAAATCTTTGTGAGTTGTTATCATAAACTATAAATATGAAACAATGTTCTTGCAATGTACTTGGTCTTTAGCTAAACATCCACAATAAAGTGATGTCATACATAGCTCTCAGTACTTAGTACCTAGACCTTATTCCCATATCTAGATTGATCTGTCAGGATCGACCCATCTCCAAGGGGTTTCTAACTTAATTGCTTTCAGTTTAAGCGGCTTAGATGTCTGGCATACCTACTAAGCTGCTCAACGATAGCTAACTACCCCCAAACAGCTTCAGTAGGCATGCCAGACATCAGAGCTGGTTACACAAAAAGCAATTTAGCAAGAAACCCCTTGGAGATGATTTTATCCTGCTTGATCGATCTAGGTACATGTATTAGTATGGGTACGGGGTCTTTATCTTTAGCTTAACCTCCACAATAAAGGAGGCAGGAAAATGCTATGATTTATATGAGATATTGATTTAATATGAAACTACAGTCACTGTGGTTAATAAAAATAACTGAGTACACAGCTCAATGTCTGGTGATGTTTTAATATTAAACTACAGTCAGTGTGGTTAATAAAAATAACTGAGTACACAGCTCAATGTCTGGTGATGTTTTATAATTGCTTTAATATTAAAGGGATAATAACTCTTCATTTTGGCCAAAAAATGAATTTTCCTGGAGTAAACAACACTTTTTCCATACTTACCAATGGTTAATGAATCCATTTTTACATTCAAAGTTAGTCCCTGTTTTTTTTTTCAAAAAAGTTAAGCTTTTTGTGTATAGCCATCAATAGAGGTCACATGGTCTAAAGACAAGCTCAGATATCAGAAAAAATAGCTATAACTGCTGTTTTGTGATAAAACTGAATATATTATATTTTTATGAGTTATTCACAATGTTTTTATTGTGAAATATAGATCTCATACAAAGAGTTATTATCACTTTAAACTACAGTCAGTGTGGTTAATAAAAATAACTGAGTACACAGCTCAATGTCTGGTGATGTTTTATAATCAATTTGTTGAATTTCCAGGGATTTGAAGTCGTTATCCAAGGAAGAAAATTCTTTGCCTTCTCAAGATATGAAGGGAAAGAGCCTAATACGACAAGTGTATGTTCAGAGACAATGAGGGGGATGTCGCATAATGTGGTGGGCCGAAGCTGGGCTTGTTTCTATGGGATGAAACAAAAGAAAACAAATCCAAAGAAACTGAACACTTCAGCACCTAAGTCAAAGTAAAAATCTATAAGAATAAAACCTTTTATAATGAATGTTTCTAATGATCAGAGATTGTTGTAATGCTAAAAAACAGTTATTAACTAAAGCACATTGCTTAACAATTGCTTAACAATTGTTAAAATGTCATTAAACATTAGAATGAAGTGCAGGGACTGGTCAAGCAATGGTTTGTGAGTAAGAGAAAATTTCTTCTTTTTTGTGGAAAATTTGATTTGGCAGGAAACCCTGATAGAATAACTTTAAATTAAAAATTTGACATCAAAACTGATTTATGTGCTTCACGTTATTAATAGTTTTTCTTTTAAATAAATGTTTTATAAGTTATATGTTTATATATGAAAAATTAACTGAGACTTAAATTTTATGAGAAATAACTCCATTATCCCTTCAGGTTACTGACATCTAAGATGCTATATAACTCCATTATCCCTCCAGGTTATTGACATCTAAGATGCTATATAACTCCATTATCCCTTCAGGTTATTGACATCTAAGATGCTATATAACTCTATTATCCCTTCAGGTTATTGACATCTAAGATGCTATATAACTC